ATAAATTAAGTAGTTGGTGGTCTAGTAGTCTTGAGAGAATTTTTAAATTTAAATTCATTAGTTTAACTTCGTTTAAGAGAGATGATTTATGTTTTAAATGTAATATTATCAACGGCTGGTTCTGGGCATCGGAAGAGATTATATATCAAAAAAAATCTCAAATTTTCAAAAAAATATTGAAAAAATATTATTATTATATAATACAATATATACATATTAAATTTGGGCCACATGCTGGTTAGGTTTGCATGAGAATGCATGTGACGAGCACCTCAATCTATGCTCCAGTTTCCTTTATCTTAGAAAATAATGCTTGTATATAACTTTTTTGCTGTGCAAATTTGTATTTGTCCCTTATTTTACTAAAGATATTTCAGAAAAATGTAAAAAATATAACTTTTAAAGCATCAGATTTCCTCGAATATTGTCAGAATAATGTAAAACGTGAAAGAAGTTAAATTCGGAGAATAGTTAAGTTTGATAAATTAGATAACAAGTTAATATAATAACCCATATATATCTGTCAAAATGGTGAGCATCCTCCTTGGATCTTGGTGTTTTGGGTGAATAATATTACTACTGTTTAAATTTAGATACAATACATTGTACACTAATCTCTAGTCCATATATATTATACGAGTAACTTGATCGGTTAATAACTTACATATTTGAGTTTCTGACATGTCTCACATACAATGGACCCAGTTTAGGAAAATATTACGTACGTTTTTTTTATCTATATGTAATCTCAAAGTTTACTCTGAATATGATGACGACTTCAACCAACTTAATCACATATGCATTATGCATGTATATCATCAGTATATATAATATTATTGTGTGGAAATACTTTATGCAATATAAAAACGGAAGAGAAAACCTGAAAAAGGAATAACAACTATTTGGATTTTTCATTTTGGATTCTGCTTTGTTCAATTATTTTCACGACTATTAATTTAAATATATAAACCAGGAAACAAATTAATCCTTACATCATAGTAATTAAGATGGTTCCTGTTTTGAATTTCGCTAAGTCGAAAAACCTTTTTTTAAAAAGTTATTAAATATCAGTAGTAGTAGACTAGCTAGTAGTCTGCATGAAGTGAAAACAATAGAAATGTTAACC